TTGAGCAATTGATTTTAATTGGTTAAAAACCTATATATGTTTTCTTTTTTTTTTATATTAAATGCCAATTTTTTGAACTCATATAAACTTTAATCTCTTATAGCTTTTTTAAAACAAAGAATAAAAAAATTCCTCTAACAGAAATATAATTTATTTAAAAATCTATCAATTTGTCAAAGGGTTTTTTGATTTAGCTTGTTTTAAAAAAGTTATACCACTTTAAAATTTTATTAATAGATATTGGATGTCTCTTGCTGTCCTGCACTGTATAAAAAGTAAAATTTAAATTTGGCTGCTAAAAATTTTTAGTTGAAGAAATGTTATTATCTTATTTTTTTAGCAAAAGTGGATACCAAAATATCAAGCTAATATATCACATGTATATTTTTATACATAATTATAATCATTTGAGGAAGGAGAAAATTTTACTATTTACAAAAAATCAGATAATAAATGACATTTTTTTTAGGTTGTTTACACTGTATATATAATAAATACAAAACAACTATTACTAAAAGCTTATACTTTGAGAATTATCTTTATATAGTTTAAGAGATATTGATAATTTGCTTAAAGTTATCTAACATTTGGTTGTTTAAAAAAAAATATTTTATAATTATAAAAATAGTAACTTTTGTATTTTTTTTTTATAAAAACCAACTATATATAACCAACTTAGCTATGCTTTAGCAAATATGTTTAACATAAAAATAAAGAGTTACTATTTTTACTATAGTAATTTGCTATTTTACTATGATTATACAAAATTTTTTATCGTTAGTATAATAATATAAAAAACTCTAACTACGGTAACTCTAAGTTTTAATATTATAATATTCTAACTCTAACTCTAATCCTAATTCTAAAACTAATAAGTAACCCTTTTTTTTTTTTAGCTCTAAGTAAAGTTGTAAAGCTTGTCTTTTTAATTCTAATAGTGGTTAAAATATTTAGAGTCAAAGACATGAATATAAAAATCTACTAATTTACTACACAAAGTAGTGAATTTGTAAATCTTATATTCGCGACTTTAACCCCAAATATCTTGGGATTCACCAGGCGGATTTTGCTAATCTAACCACTATTAGAACCAAAAAATCTTTTTTTACAACTCTACTTAGAGCTTTAAGAAAGATTAAATTATTAAAAAGTTCTGTAAAAATAGGCATTCTTTAAAAATAATATAACTTTAAAATACTTCAACTTTTTATAGAATCAATATTTTTAAAAGCTATTTGGTAAACTTATTATAAAAAACAAAAGTTACTAGTCAGATTTTTAAATATTGTTTTATAAAAAGTTATAGTACTTTAAAGTTTATTTAAAATTGAAATACAGTATATAGTAATCATATATAATAAAATGTATCAACTTTTTATACAAAAGATTTTTCAAAAAAATTTTGTAAAACTAATATTGCTTTACAAAGTTACTGGTATAAAAATTATAGTAATTTATCATACATTATAATTAAAAATAATTTTTAACTTATAAGATAAGCAATTTTTATTTTTTAAATATTATGCTAGTCAACCTTATTTAAATATGACGATAAAAATTTTTCAATACAAATGCTATAATAAGTCCGAGTTCCTTCATTCTTTTATACAGTATGTTAATATCAACAATTAAATCAGTAAAATATTATTAGACATGATTAAAGACGGTTTATATACAGTTAAAACAATTAGAAGCAATTTATTCATATCAAAGTGAGGTGTGAAATTGGATCAAATCATTTATTTAGCTGAAAAGGAGATTTAATGTATGTGCATTGTACAGCAATAAAAACATATGTACCCGCTCCCCTCACTTAATAATCTTTAAACACTATTGGTTTCTCATTGATCAAATATAGCAAGATCTATAAAGGATCAGACAGTGTTATAGGAATGATGTGCTCTAGAATTAAAGTGATTTCTGGATGGATCATCCACTTTACTACAATTTAAGCAACAGAACAGGAAAGAAAGAAATGCCATAACAGGTGCTACTACCCAAATTGAAGGCAAAGGTATAGTTTGGTAGAACGGAGCTTTATAAACGGTGGCTTGTAAAACTGTATCTTCAAGGCCAAATTGGAAATCCACGTTATATTTCTTTCCAGACAAAGAATAAAAGAAGTAGTCGTCGGAACGAGCTATTGGTGCCTTCCAGGAGATGGTGAAAGTGCTTGAACTATCATCATCTACGATAAAAGTGGCAAGACCTTGCATCTTATAAGAAGTAATGCTAGAAAATGCTTCCGATTGCTTATTTGCAAGAGGACCAGTTTGTGGTTCACAACTGATATTATAGCCATTGACCCATTCCCCGTTTTCAAGATTGGCAACGGCCAGAGTAATATCATAGCCACTCTTATTATTGAGGACGATTGTCACGCAATGCTTATCGCGTTGAGAAGAAAGTCGGTGTGACAGGAGAGGGCAACAATAAAGATTGGGATCTTTTCCATCACGACAAAAAAATGTACCGATATCATCTATCCCAATTAAAGCATCTTCTTCACTCAAGGTAGGATAAACGAACGTTAATGATAATACAAGGATAATAAAATCGAAGAAAAAAGATTTTAAAAACATTGTGAGAAGGATTTTTTTTTTTAATTGTGAAGATAAGAGATCTGATTAGTATATAGGGTATGGATCGGATCAAATTTAAAATGACTATTTATAAAGTAGGATATGTACTTACGTAAATATTTATCGCAATAGTCAGAATCCTGATTGGTCAAGTTAAATCAGACTTTAGGGGCATGACACGGTACTCGCAAAGCAGTAAACGTATATGTAAGTTACATTCAGGTAAACCTATGAAAAATTTAAACATTATCTTGGTTTGAATCACGTCTCGGATGTGTCGCACAAGAACTTGGAGCCCTTATTACCAATGGAAAGAGAAAGTCTTTATTATTTTTCGAACCCGAACTAACTAAAGTTGCACTTATCACCGATATTGGATGTCAACGTCGGACAAGCATCTGTGTATTATACGTGATTATCGAAAGCTCTTTGGAACTGAAGAGAAAGTAATCGCAAAAAGTGTGCGATTAAGAGAGAACTCCAAAAGAAAATTATTAATTTTTCTATTTTCTTATTAGTTATCGAAATAATTTCATTAAGAAAAGAATTTATTTTCATGATTGTAATAGGAATTATAGGAAACATTACTGAACATGCTTTTTATGGTTCAGGAATGATGCTGATTCTTCATATTCAATAAAGATTACAGATGCAATTATTATTGTATATTTGTAATGGAAAATTTTTTTTCTTTTCTGTTCAACTCTTAATTTTATTTATTTCTGTTATCTGATTTTATTAGAGAAAACATTAATTGATTTGAAGTATCATATATTTTAAGTGAACATAACATTTTTAAGATTTCTCAAGAAAACAGTTAATTAAATTTTAAAATAAACGAGTCGTTTTTTGTCGATACTTAGATATATGTACAACTTTGCCTGATTTGGATACTAATTAATACCATTATAGAGTGAGTTCTTATATGATGAAATTTCTTTATATTAAACACTTATAGAAAACTGTATAAAAATTGCCAATAAAGTTTATGCAAGTTATTAAGCACGGCGTTTCTATTCGAGATCGTTACATTTCGGTCTGGCCCTGGTGAATTTAAGAGATTTCCTAAACCATTGTAAGGATGAAATATACAAGCCGTTTGTATCTCTAGCTACGATATCAGTTCAATCGGATATGTAAATACAGGAGATTTTGGAATTGATTGTAATTGTCACGAGTTTAAACGATATTACCTCTTTATTATTAAATTATTTGTTTATATAAATAAGGTCGATATTAAAATGCGCAAAACTTCCTTTTTTTTTTTTACTGTATATATTTATTACATTGTCACGTCACACTTCGCCTTGAAAATTAATTTTGAGAATAAAAAGTATCAATAATTATCATTTAACTAACAATATAAGGTATAATATAATATATTTTGACTCAAAAAAAAAAAACAAAGAATGCTATTATTTTATTTCTTTAAATTACTTAAATTTATTCCTAAGCAATTAGTCCAGAAACACACAATCACGAATGTTACTACAATTATTTCTACTTTATTTCAAGAAAAATGAATAAAAAGATACAAGCTATGTCAAATTCGTATTAATTTATATGGCAAAAAACACACATCGTAAATTCATACTTTCAAAATTATTTTATGGACTACTGCTACTAACTTCTTCACCAGTCATTTTTCCAATGGCATCAATGGCTGCAACAAATCTTTTACTAACAATTGATTTCTTACCATCCAGATTGTAAAAAGGATTACATACCTGGTTGATATATGCAGTATGAATCTTGCGAAATATCTATATGTAGAAAAGTATTTATAAATAAAGAAAAAAAAGACTAGGAAAAAGAAAGGAAGGGGCTAAAAGACGTACATGTTTCATATCACTATTTTTTATTACTGCATCAGGAACAGACAGGACCACCACAAACTTTACTCGGGTGTTTGTTAGGTATCCATATCTGTTTATTAAAATAAATGAAAGAATAAACTAATGATCAAATAACAATAGCAAACAATAATAATTTAATAACAAAAGAATTTACACGGCCAAATCTTCCATCGCGTATAGCAATCCAAGATAAGTATCAGATGTTTCCGGACTCGTACTGACTGATATAATTAAGAAAATAAATATAATTAATAATTAATACGAATTACGAATCTAAAGATTTCAAAAAATAGTAAATAGTTATAAAGGTTCAAATCACTGGTTGGTTAATGCAATTGCAGAACCCTTTGCATATAATAAAAGTTATTTGCCAGAATATTCTAAAGACTTTTAAGATTTAAAATTGACCATGTTTGTGACTGACAAGATGTATTAATAACTTTTGTTACAATATTAAGTATTATTTAATGATTAAGTTCTAAATTGACAATTAGCCTAATATATAGATTGTTTTGAGATAAATTTCACTAGACAAAAGTTTAAGAAATAAATATTTAGAGAACCATTAGAGAACTATCTGGCAACCAACAAGATTACGAATCATTAAATAATATGAATGCCGTCATATATCTATAACCCGATGACAAAAATACTTACCCCGTTCTTCAATAACATCAATTGAGGTATGTGCGATGTAATGATACTTCAAATCCGGATGTGTTGAGCTAAAGTTTTTGATGTATAACGGGTTATTCTACCCAAATCATATCATGAAATCGAGGAATTAGTAAATATCAAAAATTTTAAAGCACCATCGAATATACATTTCATTTTAGGAACTATAAAACAAAAAAAAAATTCAACTTCACGGATAGAAAAAAGAAAATCTCAAATATTAGAATTAGTATGTACCATTTTACCAATGATGGCAATGCATTGAATCTTTATATTACTCATTTTTGGTCTATAGCTATTAGCTGACGACCGAAAAAGAAAATATCGAGAGAGATGTAAGAACTCACGTACGTACGTACGTATGTCGTACGTATTCATCAAATATAAAAATTCTGTGACACAAGTCACAAGTGTATGTGTGACCTAGAGTTTAGAGTTTGGAACTGGATTTATTTTTTCACATATAAAACCGGTTTAATCGGTTTTTACATATGAAAATAGAACGGTTCCAAGCTTTAGTGTGACTAAAATTTGATCAAATCACATACATAATTAAATGTTAAAAATTTTTTAATGTTTTCTGCATGGAAAAATAATTTTTTTGATATGGTGCAGGATATCTAAATCATAAAATTTTAATAAGAAATTTTTTTTAAAAACTAAATTTTTTTTGAAAATTCTTTCATGATGTGGCTAGATGTCCTGCACCATTCAAATAATTTATCTAACGTTTTCAAATTCTCAAATAGAGAATATATTAATTAGAGAACATACAGTATTTTGATAATTTAGGTTTTCTAACCGCGTGTAACGTATAAACGCGAAATAACGCCACCCGCGCGCCAATTAATTGACTTGACGCGTTATTTCGAAATAAGAGTAGATTTTCTAAATCTAATGCGGTCAATCTTCCATAAATGCACATTGTTGGGTAAAAGTGCATTTATAAAATATTCAAAGTTATTTTTTGAAGGACCCGATTTCAAAATAGTGCCCACGAGCGTTGTTTCGCGCTTATACGGTAGTGTTCTTAGAGAACGTCGAGAACATCAAAGTTTAAACACAGACTGTACTTATTACATGTATCACACCTCTAAAAGGAAAAGGAAATGACCAGAGAGTTAACTCTTGATATGTTTTACAGAACGTAACTTTTAATATGTTTTATTTTAGAGAAAACTTTTTTAATAAAATTATTTGTACAATGAATATTTTCAATTCACTAAAACATAAATAATCACAAGGAAAAAAAACGGTATATTTGGATGGAGGTTTGTAGCAGACTATACAAAATAAGCACTCCTAAAAAATTTTTTTAAGGTTCCATATCTATAACATCTATATCTGTATAATGTTCTCTATTATACGGGCTTTGTTCATCTGCGTCAAATCTGCGTCTACGATTCCTTCTATAAATCATATACTGTTTATACCTTGCGAACACAAATTTCACAATTTTCCTTGACATTTCGTACATGAAAAAAAATAACAAACAATATAGCACAAAATACCAATAACTTATCCAATGCACAACAAACTTTCTTTCATGACAAAATCCACCTTGGAAAGAAACCATTCCTCTATAATCATCATAAAATGAGGTCACTGCATTTGCTAATGCAGTTATTGGTAATAAAGCAAGGTATTCCTTATTATCAGCGGGGTAGTAACGTGGTCTTGTTCCTGTAGCATCGAATAAAAATGTTGTCTCTTTCCCTCGTAATCCTGACATTATGCCTTCAAAAGTTATATTGGGTGCATTCAACAAAGTCCATGCATATGCAGCTTCCGATGGATGATGAACATCTGAACCGGAAATCTTAAGAGTTTGATATTTTTCAGCAAACAAGTAAGTTTCAAAGTCGAAGACGTCTCCATTAATGATCTCAAATCCATCAACACCCTTTCATAATAATATCATGTTAATAATATTATAAATGATTATAAAGAATTATAATTTAAATTATTAAAAAATTTCAAAAATTTACCATTTCATAAAGTTCTTCCCTTGTAGGATGATCTGGTAATGTAGGAACTTGATGTTTCCGTTCTATAGGAATTTAAATATTAGAAAATAATTTTTTTGTGAAACCCAATAACTTGTAAAAACGTTAGCTTATTGCTTACCTGTTTTATTACTCCAAGGAATATGGTTTACGGTTACTAAACCACCCATTTCATGAACCTTATCAATCATGCCCTTCAAATCTTCGTTCGTAGGGTAGGGCTTATTAAAAGGTCCAAAAGGATTTGACTGAATGCCAATGAATTGCATATGTATCCTACAACAACTATGATAAAAAACATAAAATTCAATGAGAATACATGAAACATAATCATTAAGAAAACTTCAATTACAGAGAGCCAACCTATATTCCATTCCTGGGATTACGACAATCGAGTCGTTATATTTCTCTTTTGCAATTTTTTGAGCTTCCAATGCACCATCGATGGTATTGTGATCGCTTACGATAATAGCATTGTACCCGTTGGCTACCGGATTTTGTATATCAGAGTTAGAAATTTGTATCACGTTTTATTATTAATTAAATAAGCATACCTATTGCCCATTTTAACAATTGCTCTGGCTTCATCCGTCCATCAGAATAAGTAGTATGAGAATGTCCATCCAGTAAAATATTATATTTAAAAGGATTATCCATTGGTGTTAAATATGAAGCAGGATTCACTCTCTCCCAATCGAATTCTAGATGAGAAAAATCACTTTGGTCGATATCGACTTTGTATTTATAAATAGTGAGTAGAATACACATGACTATAATAATTATAGTAAATTGACAAAGACGAGAAAACATTTTATGAAGGTATCTATTGAAGCGCGAACGTAATTTTGGAGGCGGATTCATCCAACGGGGCAAAGGCTGTTGTAAAGATTGAAAAAGATCTGCAGGAGGTTGTTGAGTGGGCTCTGGCTCTGTCTCGGTTGTAGGAATATTGCTAGGTGCACCAGAGGGCGGATCCTGATTAGGAGCCGCTTCATGAGAATCCGTAGATACCACTTCAGGAGGCGAATCATTTTCATTCGGACGCGCTGTTGCAGCTTCGTTCTCAGTCATTTTTGAAATTACTTCGTGAGAATACAAAATTGAATCTTTTTATACTTTCAGCATAATAAGCACGTACGTACATACGTTTTCCTGATACAAACCCCGCATTTACACAACAGAAATAGCTCATTTATACTGTTTTAGAAATAACGGTATAATATCTTGTGACAATTTGTTTATTGTACATAGAAAACATTTTAGCCGTCACTTCCACTTTTTTGGTATGTATCATCGATGTTGTTGTACTTTACCCAGTTTTTTTTTCCATATTTAATCACTTCATTGTTTTTTTTTAGCGCCCGATTATAAACTTAATTAAGCACACTACTTTTACTTCTTGAACTTTAATTATAATAATAATTACAATACAGAATTGTAGGTTCTGGAATTTGGGCTGATTATCTCTATTAAATCTGCGTTCGCGTTTTTCTATTAGAACAAATAAAGATCAACAAGATTCTTTGTATTTTGGCATACCGTTTAGAGATACAAAATATGAAGAATGAAAAAAAGTGTAAAATTTTAGCCGAATCATCTGCAATTTAAATTTATCGCTTCACTCCCTTAATCGAAATACTCTACGTTTAATACAAATCAATATTAAAACTTTATAAATTGTGGTCATTAAACCTGAATAATCAAATTTTAAAAATGTGAAAATATACATTTATTGGTTTATTTAACTTGGCAATCGATGTATACATGGCCACTACAATTGAATGCGTTCGCTACGTTCATGAGCTCACGTGCTCACGTGGTTGCCTTTTATAGAATGCAAATCTATTTACGATCGTCTGCTTTTTTTTGATCTACAATCTATCGATTAGGCTACGTACTTTTTTATTTTGCATCAAAAAATTAAAAGAAAAAACATTATAGATAGATAAGAGCAATAATATATTGGCGAATATGATGCAATAGATTCGGGAATTACCTTTTTCTTTAAGAGAAAGATAAGTGACAATCAAAATAATTATTACCGTATAGTTCCGAAATTAAGCACCCCCCGAAATTAAGCACCATCAAATTTTATGTAATATCCGAAAATAAG